TTACAATATAAAAATGTTTGTTATAATCATGTCTTGTGATTATTTGACAGGAGTTTTAAACTGTAAGTGTATTTAATTTAGTTATGTTAGTTATAATAGTTCAGTTATGATATAAATACAATAAAAATTAAACCAAGATTTATAATAATTATCATTTTGATCCATACATTGTTAATGTCTGACTGGGCCTCGTGACACTTTTTGTTCAAATAAATTGGGCCCYGAGGTCAAAAATGTTAAGAACCCCTGGTTCAAAGAGCTTTCTTGTTGTTTTTAGCCTTTCCACTTGGTCCAACTTTAAGACGTCTGAACTTTAACCACCAGGTCAGACTCTACTTACCATGCATGCTCTGTATTTCTGGGATCTTCAGAGACACTAAAGTACTGTCTTTAGAGCAAACAAGCTTAATAATTGTCTTTAGCTCAGAGCTGACACCCCCAGCCTGAGTCTAGATGCTGAGAACCCCTGTACTGATGTTGGACGTATCAGCAGAGTGCTTTCTTGGCAGGAGCCCCTCAGTCTACAAGCATCTGTCTCACTTTGTCTCTCCTCCTCAAACATTCATGTTTCCTCTTGTTTCCATTTATATCCCTCCATCCCTCCCTCTATTTCCTTCTTGTTGATTTCTCTCCACTCGTTCCTCGGTGCATCATAACGTCAGTGTTTTAAAACCACTTAGGTTTTGACATCACTGCAGATGAAATTAAGAATCCATTTTCATCTTTTTTCTGCTTTAATGTTGAGAAAAAAACATTTRCAAATCATTTAAATCTACAAGACTTAACTTTACACAACCTGCTGAAGTTACACTGTATTTATGGCGACCTCCTCGTGCTAACTATAAACACAGTGAAGTAATATGTTATTGTCATTATTAGGCATWGTAAATTCACAATATGAACTGGTGTATTTAGAATCCATCTGCATTTTCTTCATGAACCACGATGAAGTGATTTTAAACCTACCCCAGCTGGGTTCATCCAAAGTGTAAACAAGTTGTTAATGAACATAATCCAGCTGTTCTTAAATATTAAAAAGGTTCTTCCAACACCTAAATAAGTTATTCTTAACCCAAACCAGGTTGTTTCTAAACCTAAATTATTTATAAATCTAATCCAAACTGTTCCAAAAACCAACTAGGGTGTAAGAAAATATCGATACACTAAAATATCGTAATATTTCATTTCCTGATACAGTATTGTTTCTCAAAAGCCCTGTATCAAGTTTTAATTAAGGCTTAGTTCAGATTTTATTCATGGTGTGCTCTTTATACTTTATACTTTTATAGTTTTTATACTTTTTTAAAAATTAGAATCTGTTGGAGAGAATAATGGCAATATAACCTTGCTTACAGTATCGCAATTTATCGCAATATATCGTATCGTGACCCCTGTGATGTGATATATCATTATCACCAAATTCTTCCTCAAACACAGATTTAAAATCAAATCAAAGTGTTTCTAAACCAACTCTAGGTGTTTCTAAATCTGCTAAACCCAAGTTACTCTTAAACTTACCAGGTTGTTCCTGAATCTGAGTACAGCTTACTTTGATTATCATCAAACCACCTAACAAAATAAAGAGCAATAATCAAAAGACAAAGTTCATCTTAAAGTTTGATGCTTTTGGCTCCTGAGTGATTTCCCTCCCTCGTGCGCTGCCGGCTCACAGAGCAGATTAGCGTTAGCTTTAGCTTTAGCTTCAGCAGATGGGAGTGTTTGCCTTGTGTTCGGTGCCTCCGGCTGCAAACGCTAAAAGACAACAGAACAGGTTGGCCAAACACCGGCTCCACAGAGGCTGAAGCTCTTTTCAGTCTCGTGTTCCAGACTCTGGGTCAGCAGGTCCAGGTTCAGACAAGAATACAAAATTAAAAAAACACCAAGAGTCCAAACGGACAGCAGCAGCTGTTTTTACTGGTTGTTGACAAAACAATAGCTGAAGTATAAAATAAAACATGGACAGTTTTAAAAAGATGTTTTACATGTAATCGCTTGTTTGTTGGACAAAAACTGGGTATAACTCAGCCGAATTTATCAGTACTGAGGTAGTAGCTGAGAGTCATCCCAAACACCTGCTGAGTGCCAACAGATCACCTGAAATCTTCTTAAAACCACMACTGAAACGCTAAAAGACAAGCAGAACTGTAGATACAAGCTAAACACAGCAAAACAGCTGCTAATGGCTAAAAATAGCAAAATGTAGCTATGAGCTAAAATTTACCAAACCATAGTTACAAGTAAAAATAGCTAAATAGAAGCCAAAAGCTACAAAACAAATAAAAAACAGCAAARCAGAGGCTAATGGCTAAAATTAGCAAAAAAGTAGCAAGACAATAAATTTTTCTGAACTATAACTAGAAGTAACAAATAGCAAAACAATAGCTCAAAGCAACAAAACAACAACTAAAACCAGCAAAACAGCAGCTAAAGTCMAAAACATCACGTGTGCTGTAAACAACCCTGCTGAGAGGAGAAATATACCGAGCTGAACGAGACGACTGTAAATGAGAGCTGCTGCTTTGTCAGACTAATTTATTTAATTTGAAGTCTTATCAACACAGACTGGCTTCATTCACTTCCTCCACTGCTGTATGCTAAAATAACTAGCAGACACTGTGCAGAACATCAACGTCGTTCAAAACTCCACCTTCTGTTCTCTGATTGGCCCAGGTAAAATAAACTACAAGCAGACACTGTGCAGAACATCGTTGTTCTGTTCTCTGATTGGCCCAGGTAAAATAAACTACAAACAGACACTGTGCAGAACATCGTTGTTCTGTTCTCTGATTGGCCCAGGTAAAATAAACTACAAACAGACACTGCGCAGAACATCGTTGTTCTGTTCTCTGATTGGCCCAGGTAAAATAAACTACAAACAGACACTGAACATCGTTGTTCTGTTCTCTGATTGGTCCAGGTAAAATAAACTACAAACAGACACTGAACATCGTTGTTCTGTTCTCTGATTGGTCCAGGTAAAATA